GCCCGGATGTCAGCGTACTCTGATACACATTCAGAACACCTGGCTTCGCCAGCTGGCAGGTGTCAATCCGTTCACATCGACGTTGCGGACATCCACCGAAAAGCACCCGGAGGTCGGCGCAAACAAGTGCGTGGTCAGAGTCCATGCTCATGCTCCAAATCGAGCGACAGTTTTGGACACAGCCTCTCCGGCGATATGATCGATTTGTGTTTATGGCCGGTGCGAGGCTGGTGTCCACCAAGTCACGCTTTTGCGGGTGCTGTGTCGAAAGTTTGTGTTCACGAGAAAGAGATGAACATTTTCTTACAGCTGTAGCAATCGGTCACCTTTATAGTCACGGGAGCCTACATCATGTTGGCTGCCCAGATGAAGCTTATCTGAGAACAGTTTTCCAACTTGCGCATTTAGCTCGTCAGCCAACACCACAGTATCTGTGCTTCTTCTGTAACGAAGGAGATCGGTAAGTTGTTGATAGAAAGCATCTTTCATCGAATTAGTGCTACAGTTTGTAGGGGCTTAGGCCGAAATGATAAACAGTCAGCATTTGTTCTTTCGCGACTTCGAAGCATGGTACGAACCAGCTAGTCTAACGGCGCACATCCGACTGTTGACTGGGATCCGATCGATTAGAGGAGCTTCAGTCCGGAGACTCCAAACAATGCGGACGCCAGCTTGACCGACATTTGAAGCTGCGTCAACTCCAGATAGGCGAAATGTGAATGTTCCGCCAATGTCGCCTGTGGAGGTCGCAGGGTAAGCACGAAGCTCAAATCTTGCAGTCGCGCATCCGATAAACAACAAATATCAATCGATAGGTTCTCGAGCAACCGGGCAAGTGCTGCCTGTAGCAAAGTGCGCACGTTGATGCATGTCGGTCTTAGCGAGACTCCAAGACTCCAAAGGGAACCGGATGAACTGACGTTGTCCGCTTGGTTGAAGATGGACTTGTCGACTGGCTTAGAGCGACGCCCTGAAATTGTGTTTAAGTTGAACCTAAACGAATATAAAATTTATTTGTTTATTTACAAGTGACTCGTGAAGCAAGGTAAGGAAGGGCCAAGAATTTGGGGTTGAAAACGCCGGGGATGAAAGTGAAGTTGGAACAGGACGATACTGGTAAAACAGCGTAAGAGGGCAATAAGAAGACGGGAATGCTTAAGCAATAGCATCCAAGCCACTATCCACCTGCTTAATACAGCTGAGATTGCGCCATTGATTATCCTCTGCAACGGCCAGAGCCTTAAGAATCTGTTTGAAGAGAAATTCATTGTATTGCGTAGGCAGGCTAATGTCAGGTTGCCTAGGCCTAGACAGGAGAAAGATTAGGGTTCTCAACCAAAGACTTTGGTTCAAAAAGCCTTTGACACAAGACTGTCTGGTATGAGCGTCTCTGGATGTGCAAATATACACCACCTGGCATAGCTCAATGGATCACTGAGGCGCACAAACCATCGCACCATGCTAAGGTCCAGTTTTGTCACGATGGCGCTAGTTTAGTATTCTCCTGGGAAAAAAGTTCTGCCGTTTCAACGTTACTACGAACAGCTGGGTGAATTCATCTTCTGGGGTACTACTTACTTCGATACGATGTCTTTGAATGAGTGGGCACTTAACCAAATGCGTCATCGCTCCCTTCAACCGGCATGACCCAACGACAGCCGGTTCGCATCTAATGCCAAATAAGCTTTTCGTGTCCTATGGCTTAGTCTGCCCCGAACGAACCATAGTAAGCATGCCGCGTTACAACCAAAGCCATCGATAATTCAACTGGCTCATGTGGTCTCTCTTTACTCACCTTTTAACGAACTGGCTCCGTTGCAGGGCTTCCATGCATTCCAGAAAAGGGTAGAGCAAAATCCATGGCTTCGCACGCAACTGCGTGCCCCCCACACTTAGGTGCATGCGTGCGGGCATCTTCTATCCAACACAAATTGCCGCTTGGATAGCCGGACACACGTTACAGATGTTTGGGTTTCCAACGTGCGTGCTAGTGCGTCGATGAAAGGTATGAGTCGTGGCTGGATTAAGGGGATTGGTCCAAACATTTTGGACACCCTGTACATTTGCGGGAAGGCAATGAACACAGGAAAAGACTCGCGTTTGCATTCTAGAATTCGCACAGATCATTTTGGGGTTGTGTCCTTATGTCGGGGTTAGGATTCGGAGGCACATTCTGGATTGGGATGAAGAGCACAACAAATTGGCTTATGACGGGTGAAAATTGACTATCGGTGACTCACCTAGCAGCAATTTTCATGCATAGAGCCTGCCTTGCATTTGTTCTGGTGCATTTTAAGATATGTGCGCTAAAGTTTACCGGTACCTTCGGGTTTGCACAAAACAGCCTGACTAGTCCTGTGTACGAAAATGGGGCAATGTGAAGGATTGTTAAGTAGGGTCAAACAGGGTTCACACCGGCTGTGACGACACGTATGTACGACTGACGATTTGACCGCCGAGCCATTTACAACAAGAAATACTTTTGGCTGTACGACATTTTTCGAAATAGAAAGCTGTCTGCCAATCCATTGGGCTGTTTGAACAAACATTTCCAGAACCGTTAAGCGTATCAACAATACTAACCGAGTATTCCGACTGCTCGTTGACGAATTCACTAGAAGCTTAGCAAACAAGATCAACCTTTCTCAGAATGCTCGGCACGCTAATTGCTTTTTTGACTTTTACCTGATTGTTAGCACAGCTCTTGATGGTTAGTCTAACGGGACCGGTTAATGTGATGGAGGATTTCCACTTTTTCTATGCACGAAAATAAAAGGCAGCCCTGTATCATTCAAGCCTGCATTATTCCGTGGACAGGCTGATGGTCTATAAGGTTAGTATTATAGCTGCGGTTCCTGAAGGTAGTAACACATGCGCTTTGTGGAAGTTATTGTGCAGCGAACCTGCATAAAATCATACCACTCTCTATATACCTTAGTGCTTTCATATTAGATTGCGTAACACTGGACAAGTCCATGGAAACCTCGGTCGCCTTCCACCGTAGTGAGCCTGGTGCAGTTAAAGCATGTTTCTGACATAACTGCCAATCCCAACAGAATTATTCCACCTAATGGCCAGCGTGGGACTAAGCGTGCATTGTAATCCAGCGAAATCAGACTATCCGAAGAATGGAGAAAACATACTGTGGCAACATTTAATTTTCAAAAACACACTTATGTGTCCTTCTAATACGTTGTCCACCATTTAACCCAATCACTCTAGCTATGAAAATTTGTTTGCTTATGGGACATGCTTACATTTAGAATATTTTCAAGAATAAGCTACCAGAACTCTCTTAATGACGTTCAAATACACTTACTTAAAACCATCCGTCCACCCCCTCTTATCTAAGACGGCAGTCTACTCCTTGGACCGCGGTGCATCTATCCGAATCTAACGAGTATGACAACAACAACAACAATGTTGAACGTCATATGGCGGAACAGTCAACTGGCAGTTCTGCTAAACACAAATCCCGAACCAATTTGAATAGCAGAAGAAAGTCAGAACCTGCCAGACAAGATGAATGGTCATCCTATACGAGTAACTCGAAGCGCTCAGTGGGTTCGGATGCGTTATCCTTCTTGAGTCTGGATGCGAGGAGCGAAGGCTTATGGCTGTCTCTGGATGGACTACTTGACAACTCCGGACAATCTTCTTTATTCTCCAACTGTTGGCAGAATGAAACGGAGGACGATCTAATGATAAGGTTGCAACAGCTACAAGAAAGACAAAACATCCCGCTTCAACGGTTGAAAGAACTATTACTTTCAAGTGTGAGTGGTTTGCAAGATCCGTTTTATGATTATCAAGACAAACTAATAAATCCCGAAGAAATTTCGTTTCCGCCTAATCAAAAAAACAATTGTTCTGTTTCGGTAGGTGCTTGGTTTAAACAGGAAACTTTAAAAGCTGTTAAAGTCACTGCTATAGGTTGCCTACTTGATCGCCTTAAGTATCGCAAGGGAAATAGCTGATGAGCTTTTTACCAAATAGTTTTCTGCTTGTATTTTTGTTCATTGGTCCAGTGCGAGCATTGTTTGTTGGCATGGGTGAGAAAGCCGATTAGCCAAACAGCAGCAGAAGCGGAAAAAGCATTCATTTTTCCTAGTAGGCATTTGGAATATCTGGCGTTGGTCTCAAGCGATGCACACTCGTTGTCAGGTTATTCTACTCCATCATTTCCATACCTTTCTCAACCTTGGCCTATGCAATATCATTTTGGCTTTACTATAGTTAGACTTACAGGTACACACCTCTCTATCCATCTTGTGTTAACTGAACAACTAGATAGTATTACGGGTTAATTCACCTCTATATTACTGCTCTTACAGACTTGAAAGGTTCAGCAGTCACGTTGAAATGCATATGTCCGTTTAACAATACTTTGACGAGGCGGATGTGACTCACCACTAAATAACGTCATTGCCCGTTGCTTCATACTGGCGAAGCATTGTATCTAAGCAACTTAATACTAAAATTGTGGGGAACCTTGAGCCCTTCTTTGACAAACGAACAAACTGCTTATGAAGTGGACAATCGGTCACCGGCTCTCAATGGGTGCGATTCCCTGAAGGCTGCGATGGTAATGCCTCTATTGCCGACGGCTGGCTAGTCGAGCTTCTCGGTGTGGTTGCGCCAGCACAAAGCTGCTTAGATGCCTTGGTTTTAGTCTCTGGCTGGTACCGTTCGATGACGCGGTCTGCTAGATCTGCAATTGCTGTGAGTGTCAGGTCACTTGCTACTGCAAGAATAGCCTGAGTGGTTTCGGGAAGGCGTTGCATCTGCTGCTCGCGGAGAATCCCTACGTCCATGTTGGACGTGCCGATGAGTTGTTGAATTTCGCGCAACAAGGCTGAGGGCATTCTAACTCCTAGTTGCAGATCACTGTATAGTTGCTGCATACGGAGCTTGTCAAAAGGCGTGATTCGCTGAATAATAGCCTATTTAAGCGTCTCCTATTTCATTAGTAAAGGGGGCAAAATATGATGCCTCTCACTTGCGAGGATATACTCTGAGGAAGGCGAGATATTAGTTGATTGTATATGACGAAATCAAAAGAAATCCTACATATGTAAAAAAAACGGATTCTAGGTGCAAAAACCATAACGAAGGATCATTCTCCCAAAAGCTGGAGAGGCTAGTGTAACAGAATTGACCATGACAGACTCAACGGCGCTATCCGCGTATGGAGATTGCTCATCCTCTGGATAATCCACTGCAAAAACCAGATAAAAATGTGGTAGGTGAGAAAACAATATGATCACAAGTAATGAATCACAGAATCATTGGAACGAGCTCACCAGAATGAAAATTCAAAATGGCGGACGGCGTGTTCTTAAGCGGGGTCAAAAATCGTTGGGTGGCACCTGGGATACTAGTCGGTAATCAATGACACGTAAGAGACGTGTCAAATACGGGATAGTATAGAAGTTGGAGGCGACTGAACCCAACGTATATTGTGCAGGCTACAAAAATAGGGAGCGAATCAGCCAGGGAGAGAAACGGTGCAGCAAGGTACTCACTAAAACTCTTTGTGTCAATGGATGTGCAATCAATAAAACAAGTGGACGTTTTGAAGGTTAAAGCAACCGTAAAATCCAATGTTGCAAAATACTGAAAGCGCGTGTTTTCCGGTACACTACACGTGCCAACAGTTTGGACGAGCTACGTTTCGCTTTTGACGCAAAAGCTTCGTCAGGCAGAGGGAACCACTCGGGAATTGGTATAGCACTTACACCGAACGGTGATGATAATCGGGGCGAATGGGATGTAGGCAATAGGTCAATCGCGTTACAAATCAACGCATCACTCCAAATAGTGCATGGAACTGTCACAATTGGTCTCGGTTACACGGTCACACAGGTAAGCCCTGTTAACTATGGGTGTGAGATGATGTGATGTTCATTCTCTGCCCTAGATCCGTCCGCCGGCGCTTCTCAGACTGGTCGGGTTAAGCCAGCTTGCCACACACTCGAATGCTCGGCCCCATGTATTCTGTTCACGCAGCTGTTAACTTTGCTAATTTCAACCGCCCCAGCAGTCAGCCTCTAGGGTGTTGATCCCAACCCGTTTCTAACGGCTTTGACCTTATCCAAGTCGATCTCATGCCATGTATCTATCGCAGGCATCGATACTGCCGAGCTCCTTAGTAGAGCCATATGTTCAAGCTCGTTTCTCGGTGGCCGTGTTATGCGTCCCTTGTGTTCTGCTATCCTTGTGCGTGGCTCTCTCGCGGTTTGACCGATGTACACATGTGCGCAGTCTTCGCAGCTAATTTTGTAAACGCAATTGATTACTCTCTGGGGAAGTGTTTCCTTTAAGTGCGTCAGTGTAGAGCGGAGCGTTTGGCCTTTCTGGAAAATAACCCTTATGTTTTCTTTAGTTGAGACCATCCGGCGGATCACCAAAGTTCCAGCTTCTACAGGAATACCTACTGTCCCTATCCATTCCGTAGCACGCTGTGGGTGAGGAGTTAAAATTCTACGCAACCAGCGTGTCACTAACCTCCTCGGGTATCCACTACCTAACAATTGGTTTATTGTTTGTTTCCGGGCGGCCTTCTTCTTCCTCTGTGTACATGGTCTGGGCAATGTGAAACAGTGATGAGGCGATTCCAGCATACACATGCATTGGGTGATCTGATATAGAGTGGTGGCATAGGTTCCACGTCGCATGAACAAGCTAGATATTTGGCACCTCATCTCCCCACCCATCGATAACAGGGCTTACCTGTGTGACCTTGTAACGCGGACCACTTGTGACCGTTCCATGCACTATTTGGAGCGATGCGTTGACCTGTAAAATAATTGTGGATGTTTGTGAGTGGTGTAAAGTTCGTAGAAAGCAGAAGTCACGATTAAAATTCACACACAATAATGTGCCTCGACGGCGAATCGAACCCCGGCCCAACGAATTTCCGGTCCGCTGCTCTACCACTGAGCCACCGAGGGCTGACGATTAGGTGCTCAATTTTTAATACATGACTTCTGCTTGGTCCGCGATGTATTGCCAATGAGCTCACAGTATCTGTCCTGGTGTTGCAGATTGGCTCACTCACCCGTCACTTCCCAATGGACCGAAGTATCTGTCCTTCAGATGTCCAAAGATGTCCATCGCCCTTTGGACATTAGAAGGACAGATACTTCGGTCCATTGGGAAGTGACGGGTGAGTCAGCCAATCTGCAACACCAGGACAGATACTGTGAGCTCATTGGCAATATGTCGCGCACCAAGCAGATGTCATGTATTAAAAATTGCGCACCTGATCGTCATCCCTCGGTAGCTCAATGGTGGAGCGGCGGACCGGAAATTCGTTGGGTCGGGGTTCGATTCCCCGTCGAGGCACATTATTGTGTGTGAATTTTAATCGTGACTTCTACTTTCTACGACCCGTAAAGTGATTGACCTTTTGCCTACATCCCATTCATCGTGATTATCATCACATTTCGCTTTAAGTGCTATACCAATCCCCGACTGGTTCACTCTGCCTGACGAAGCTTTTGTGTTAAAAACGAAACGTTGCCTACAAACTATACCAGCCGGTTGTTTTCAAATCTTTCTGAAAGTATGAGTTACCTGTCCATTCCAAGTATTTTTCAAGATGTTTAGTTTGGACTGGCGTTACGCCTAACACGGTGTCAGACGATCAACAGCGGAACGTAAGCGCAATATGGATAGCTGGCCAGATCGTGTGGGTATCGGCCATGTGAGCGTCGATCGTGTGAGCAAGGTTATGCCCTGACACGTGAACATGCGACCAGATATGGAACGCCGGTGCGATGCACGTGGCTGACGAACTCGGGTGACCGTCGACTGAAGGAACGAGAGCCTTACCCTGGCGCGGACGGATGACCAAATATGGTAACCGCGGAAAAAAGAAATGCGTTCACACTGGTTGAAACCAGTACGCCGACGACAGGGTATCAAGATTCCTATAAATAGATCCGTTACTTTTCATAGATGTTACACCATCCACCGAGTCCTGGCTTTGATTTTACGATTAAATTGCACACCAGACTGAACAGACTGTAGGGATCAGTACTGCAGGTGACACAGTACAACATTATGACTTGCATTATGGTTTTCGTCAACTAGTATAACGAATCCGTAATATCTTCTAGCAAAGACTTTTCACGTCCGTGTGGGCAGCCATCAGCGATACACGCGGAGGGCTCATACTAATCGGCTATCTCTCCAGTGTAGCAGAGCGGGTGGTTGTCGGATGCTCGGAAGGTGCTTCTTGGTTGTGCAAGTGTCATAGGTGGACCAGAGATACACTTAGGTGTTCGTCATCATGCTCCGCTGTGTTATTCGTTCGCCGGTCCCAATCCGACATGCAATATTTGGCGGACTACTATAATGAACGAAAACAGTTCTTAACCATGATCAATGATTTATAAGGGGTAAACAAGTAATTGCTTGGTAAAACCCTGTAGAATGACCGGCGTGCGGTTTATAAACTCAAAATAACTGGGAAAAGGGGGAATTCCAGTGTCAACTTACTCACCAAACTATTCACATTAACACTGACACAGGTTTCCTCTCCGCTACATTACGGAGGTGGCTGGTGACCAACAACTGGATTTGCGTTACTTCATCATCTGAGTGAAACGGACTATATCACTTAATGTAAGTGGGACAGTATGTCTTCAAGACATTTTTAAATAGCGTTAGTGTGCGTGCAAAAATCATGTGAGTTACAGGAGTGTTTCAGAATCGGGATATCCGAAGGGAGAAAATGTTTCGTCGGCAATCAAGCCGACTGTAGTACGTG